CTTAAATAAATAAATTAAAATATATTAGGATGGTTGTTTGTTAAGACAGGATCTTGAGGGGCTGGAGAGATGGCTCAGTGGTCTAAAGCACCTACTTGGAACAAGCTTGGCAAAGCATAGGGACCACAGTTCAATCCCCCAGCACCACATGGCAGCCAGCCCCGCCCCCTGGTGGACTGAGCTGGCCACACACACACACAAACTAAAAAAAATGTAATAAATAAAAAATAAAAGAAATATTAAAAAAAAAAGACAGGATCTTGATATGTAGCTCAGCTTGGCTTTGAACTCTGTGTAACCCATACTGATCTCAAACGTATGGGTATCCTCCTGCCTCAGACACCTGGGTGCTGGGATTACAGGCATGCACCACCACACCTGGCATATTGGAATTTAAAGATGGCAATAAAAGAACATGAAACCAAGTGTCAGCATAATCTACACACCCAAGTCCTGCCTCTTACAGGTGCTATGTGTTATGCTGTATGCTAGCAAAAGGAGAGGTAAAGCCTCAGCAAACTAATATTGCACTAATGTCTCTCTCTCAAATACTGTGACCCTTTTCACACATGTGTCAGTTATATCCTTCAGAACTCTTGACATCAGTAGCTATCTTAAGTTAATGCCACCAAATATTCCTTAGCTCTAACCCTAACCCTAACCCTAACCCAGGACTGTGTCCCAGGGAGACAGCAGCACTGGCAGGGTCTGTGAAGCTACTCCTAGGAACCGCACAATCTTCTGAACTTGGGAGCTGTAGAAGGCTTGGGTGGCAAACTATGGCTCAAAGTGGCCAATTTCAGTTTTAGCACAATGTTAGGTGCTGATCCCGAGGCCCCAGCCACATGTTAGGCAGCTGGGCATGCATCTGTGGGATTACCTGTACATAGCGTGAGGGAGGCAGATGGGCCAAAAGCGCCATGTCCTCTAAATACTGACACTTGTATTCCAATCTCTGGCTGCTAGTTTTGATCAGAGCAACAGACAGGCTAGAATGTTATTATTGTGCCTTCTTCCATTACTGCAGGGTTTCTCCCTTTGGGGCTGGTGTCTTCTAAAGGTCTCAAATGTCCCACTTCTCAATGTTCCTTCTCTCCTCCTTTTCTTTGACATGAAGTATCACTTTATCGTCTAGGCTGGCCTCAAGCTACTGTGTAAACTAGGTGTGGCTGTGCACACCGGTAATCCCAGTGGTTTGGGAGGCTGAAACAAGAGGATCAGAAGTTTAAGCCAGGGCC